AAAAAAAAAAAAAAGCTATTAGATTTGAGTGGCATGCATATAAAAGCACCTACTAGAAGAAAACAACTGTGGTTATAACTAGCGTCGTATTTCTACTCCCTTCCTCTTACATGCAAAAGTCCCGTTTTTTACAATCAGTTTCCACACACAGCCGACTTTTCCTCCTAAGAGAAAAAGAGCACGGAGAAAGAAAGAGACACTGCCCTACCAGCTCCTTGCAGTAAACACAATAGAGCCTTACAGTATCTTTGGAAGAGCCCAGCTTCTTCAGCCCATCCAGAGGGAGCAGATCTGCAGAATCCTTGTGAATAAACTGAACCGCCTGCTTCATCCTCCTCTGCTGGCGGAGAGACGCCGCTTCCCTTATTTCCACTTCTTTCCGACTCGGCTCCGTCAGGATGCCCGAATAAAACATCTCTCCGGCCGTGTGAGGCTCGCTCCTCGCAAATGCGCCTCTCGGGGAGCTGAGGCGGGGGGATGCTCTGCCGCCTGGCTTTATAGCCGGAGCCTGGTGACGTTCGGAGGCCGGCAGGTACCTCGGCCGGAGGGGTTGGGCGCGTCGCGACACGCGGCGACGACAGCGGAATAATAACACATCGCTGTCCTTCCTTCCTACTGGCAGCAAGATTACACAGCCTTTCGATGGCTCTCAAAGCCCCTACGGACCGAAGGGAGCACCGGAGGACCGGCACGGGGCTTTGAGGGCTGGCACAGCCCTGAGAGCCAGCGCAGGCACAGCGGGACTGCCTCGCACGGGGATCTGAAGTGTCGCGACAGGTGACACTGCCCAGCACCCGTGTGGTCCTGGGGGCTGTTTCTCACAAGCTGCTGAGGTTTGGTACCTTATGCCCGGGGCTGGGAGGGTTAGGGCAGGCTCAGGGTGCCCCTGGTCTGATCAGAGCACTGCCAGCACCGTTCTGAATCATCACTGTCCATTCAAGTCCCCAGGAAAACTATCACAAAAGTTGTCACAGCCAAACTCGCCTACACCCATCCAGTGTCCTGGTACAGCACAATTTGACTAACACAAGCATCCACACAACTGATGGTTAATCAGGGCAAAACTCTGCAGAGCAGCTCCAGTTTTGCAGCTTTCTTGCTGCTTGCCTGATGATTCAGATGCTGCAGGAGACAGTGTTGCTCTAGTTACACACCCCTGACCCCAGACAGTGCTGGGAGGGTTTCAAAGACATGGTAGAGGATGAAGATGCTGCCATTACCTTGGCTGTCTAGAGGTATCCTCTATTCTTCATGGGCAGCTCCAAGCTCCCAAGAAGCAAAGTCCTTTTTCCTGGGCTGTGCTGTCTTTTAATGTGTTTTACTTAATCACGAAGGAAATCTCCAGCAAAATTCCTCCGTCTCTTTCCATTACAATGTAATTACAACATAAACTAATACACACTAACAAACTTAATAGACTTTCATACAATAAAGACTGATTAATGTAATAGCTAGAGAAGGAAATTTTCTTATACAGGACACACAGGGTTTCTTTCACTGCAACAGTGAGCGAGGGCTTCCCTGAACTTTCCGCTTTCCAAGTAATTTGTTGCATGGAACAGGTGCACAAAAAGTGCAGCTCTGCCTCAGAGAGACAGTACAGATCTGGAAACACTCCCCCTGGGTTTGTTTCTTGCTAAACTAAGAGAGGCCTTTGATGTGCTAGGGAAAGCCCGAGAAAAGCAAAGTTTAGCCCAGAATTTATGCCAAGCCAGACTTCCAGGACATTTCTAACCTTCCTGATGAGCTGGCACGCTGACTGCCCTTTGCTCTCCCTCACCAATAGAGCCTGGACTCCCACTTTCTGCTCCCCAAGACACCCCTGGCACCATGCAGCCCCATCTCCTGGCACAGAGCAGGGCTGATGCCAGAACAGCAACACTCTGCGGGTAAACTTACACATCTGAGCTCTGCAGCCAGGGACAAACCATGTATGATCAGCCACTCCTCATGTGACCTGCGAGCAAGGGGGGGAATAAATCAGATGATGAGGCAGGATGCCATAAAATCTGAACCCATTATTTCACAGCCTCACACAAGAGGCCACCACACATGAGCCAGCCCAGCTGAGTGAATCTGTCAGCCTGCAGAAGGGTAACAGGATAGAATTTTTTCCCCCCTATGCTGACTCAGCTCATTACGCAACAGGACCATTGTTCCACTCGGGGCACACATAGCCAGGAGGATAAAAGTCCCTTATTTTTCACCTTGGGCGTTATTTGGCTCTTGTCCAGCTGATTAAATAAAGATATACAACAGCATCCATGCTCTCCCAAAGGCAAGGAGGCACAGGAGGAAGCAGAAGGGCTGTCCCTGGAAACAGAAGGCAATTTTTGGTATAAAGGCTCCACAGAATAGCAGCACTCTGCCCAACATCCTAACAAATGCCTGGTCAGCTCTGGCTCAAGGCAAGAAGAGTAAAGCTGCAAGCACAGGTGGAGCAGGAAAAGCTCTGAGGCTGCAGCCTGTGTTTCCATGAAGCACAAAAGAACTTTGTCTGAGCCTTGCAATTTCATTTCTGTTGTATGTCATAAACGCACTTGGTGCCAACAGCACCAAAAAAAATCTGCTCAGTGCTCGAGAGTAACAAATGAGATAAAAGCCTAATTCCTCTCTTGATTTTTAATCCTGAGAAAGAGGAAAGGAGAAGGTGCAATAAGGCATCTGTTCAAATTATGCAGGATCCACGCTGAAAGAGGAGCTCGGTTTGGACAGCTCAGACCCAGGGGTTACAGATTTAAGTAGTTAAATCACTCATTTATAACAGATTAGCCAGCGGTGTTTGTCCCCCTCCCCATAAAATGTATCCAAACATTTCAGGAAAATCCCCATCCACTCACCGGAGACAGGACTGTGCATGACCACTGTCCCTCACTCAAGAAGAGATGCAAGGGACAAACACCCTTTTCTTGCTCTTTGCTGCCTCCAGAGCAACGTGGAGTGTTCCTCTGCACCTCCACACAGCATCAGTCTGGTGTCAAAAAGGCATTACTGGGCGGCGATGCAGAAGCCCCTCCAAGCTGCGTGTGGCCCTGCCCTCCTGGACAGGCTGGCGCTGCCACAAAGCCACGGTGCCACCATGGACGGACACAGGCTGCTGGACATCAGGGGCTGGGAGCTCTGCCAGGTACCWGCGCAGCTGCCACAGGTTTGGAATGGTCTCTGTCCCATCGCCAGAGCTTTTCTACTGGCCCAGCCGAGTCCTCAGTGTCCAAACGCACTGCAAAGAGCAGACAGAGGGCAATGGTGCTTTCCCTGGCCTTCCCCACGTGTCCTTTGCCATCACAGCTGGGAACAGGAGAGGCAGCACCACGGGGCAGCGAGAGCGCCCTGGGAGGAAAGGGAGAGGATGCACAGCTTTCACGAGCTTATCAGCCACGCTGCAGGGCGGACAAAGTGACACCGGCACTGCCTTTCAAATGCAATTTTCTTTACCTGTAATGGTTGTGCCCCTATTTACAGCCGGCTTGTACTGGCTCAGTCCCCCGTCCCGCCTGAAGCTTTATCTGCGGGAGGGAAGCGGAGCTGCCGCGGATTTTGGTTCACACCCCCGTTCCATCTCCTCTCTCGCTGAAGAGGAAAGCAGCAGCAGGCAACGCAGGAAGTGGGTCAGTCCTTCTTCCTCCCCCACCTTTTCTTTGATTTCTCATCTTTCCCTAAAAAAGAAGTGATTTGTTAGTGGTTGCAGTATCCTTAAGAAATGCAGAGATGCCCCAGAAAACTTTGAAGAAAGGACAGAGTGGTGTAGTTTAACAGAAACAGAAGCAGGCAGTAGGTCGAAAAGGAATAATTTACTCAGCACAAAGAGAAAACTTTAGAGAATCCATTTCCAGAAAAAAAGACTATGAAGAGCTTAAGAAAATTAAATCACACTAACTTATGTATTAAAATAAGCTTTCTGTCCACCAGTGCATTGGTAAGGGTCAGTTCTAGCATGATCAGGAAAATTACTGGAATAATCTGGAGACTACAAACCTGTCCTTTTCTAAAAATTTTGGATACAAAAGTCCAGAAGTATTTACTGAGCTTCTTAATCATCATTTGTAGCAAGACAAAGCCTATGGATGGAGCTGGAGAAATCCTCAAGCATCCAAAGGCAGAATCAAGTTGACATTTCTGAGAAACGTGGCCCGTTTTGTCCAGTAACTGCACACTCACCTTCTGTGTTTCCAGCACTGACCAAGGACAAGGATTTCCCAGGCTGGGACATGGGGTCCATCACAGGCACTTCAGGGAGACTACAATTCCCAGGGCAGGTCTCCCTGTTTATCCTGGATGCAGCTCCAACATTCCTTCCCTGTGTGTGCTCTGTGCACTGCCTGAGCTGGTGGCATCAAAGCAGAGGCACGGATGGCACCGGGAGAGGAATCAGACATTGCACAGCTCCTCCCAGGAGACAGAACTGAATTTATCTGTCTGGTTCTCTTCATGCACAGAGGCAACAGGTGGGTGAGAGTTTCGGGAACACAAAAGCTGCACATGTCAAACCAAGAAATTAAAATGGCAAGAACTCCCTTACATTTATTTTCCCCTTTTTAAAGAGGCTGAAGCATGAGAAGCTGGCAGGGTGGCTTGCCAAGCGCTGAGGAATTGATAAGAGGACAACATGTCGAGGAGCTGGCATGGCAGGCAGAAGGCCTGGCCCTCTGATCTACACACCTTTGACCCTCCAGGAGCACCTGCAGCCCTTCACAGAGGGGATGGTGGCTCCTGGGCTCTAACTGCACTGCTCCTGCTCAAGGGTGCAGGGAGGACAGGCTGACCCCGGCCCCAGCAGTGGTCACGAGCTGGTTTCCTCCAAAACAGGAGCAAACGGTGCACACAGAGGGCAGGTGATGTTTCTCTCCAGTATGTACCCACACTGTTTATTATGTGCAACAGCAAAAGTATTCCAGCGTAAAATTTTCAAAATTATTGATTTGAAGAAACATTAATACATGGTAGTTCTCACCCTCCCTCCCGCCTGTAGGTTAGAGTTGAACTGCAAATATTTATTTTTAAGTTGCCTACACATATATTCAAAGKGCCAACCATAACTGCATCACTCAGGCTTCCCAAACCTCAGGGGGTTTCACTTCTCCTGTCTTGCAAAAGGCAGTCTGTGTGCTGAAGGCTTCCTCTGCTGCTGGGGCATTCCAAGCCATAAATTTAACATTCAGATCATTAAATATATAGGAGGGATCTTGTTAAGGCTGAACCGGTGCGAGTCACTTCGCACTACACAGACACAGTTTTCTCGCTCCTTTCTCACTTTTCAGAAGCCTGATATCTGGAGACCAAGGAGGAGCAGGGCAGGATACGCAGGAATTCCACTGCTGCTCGGGATTTCTGAACTCCCAAAGCCAGGAGGAAGAGGGCGCTGCTCTTCTTCCCATCTGGTTCTGTGTCAGTCCTGGCCAGTCAGGAGCTACTAAGGAATAACCAGGAGCCTGTTGCTCCGGAAAAGCAGGGGCTGGTGGGATGAGGGGTAGGAGAGGGCAGGGAGACCCAGGAGACACAGGCTCACT